ATAGTGACATGTAGAGAGAGGATTTGACTTTGACAAAAAAAAAAGTAAATAAAAGAGATACATGATCTGATTCTGGCTGAGGCTCTAGAATATCAAACGTTGATATAACAATATCACAATAGTAAGTCTCTTGTCTCATTTTCTGCTCCGCATTGTAGATATGGTCTGCCAGAATTATGCTCTCGGCTCCAACCCCTTGGAGTATTCCACAACAGGATGCTCAATCCTCAAGATTGTGAGGGTCATGCACGCATGCAGTCGAGTATACCAAAAGTAGTGTTGCACTCGACATTCAACTCTACAGCTGCATGATATTCTCGTTTTAATTACCAGTCTTTAGAGCACTCGAGCAATGGGCTGTGAATCAATCCTTCGTGACCAAATGGGAGGCAGACTTTGCTGCGACCAATATCTCAATCGTCTCTACGGTGATCATGAATTATGCATGTAGCTGAGGACGACACGGCAATGTTTTGCTTTTGCAACCCATGTTTTCTGTTGCGGAGATGAGGAGTACAGCGGAAGACTTCCTTCTCCGTGAGGACCCACTGAGATGATTATAATATCCGAACAGAATTGGAATGTATCGTGGAACGTGCCGAGGAAATGAAGAGGCACAAAGAAATTCCTCGGAGATTGTAAGAACTTCGAGCATTTTGTGGTTTTGCCATGTCTTCTGAGGGCCAGGAGCTCTCATGGCCGAAAAGGCGACATTTTTTTATAGACTGGAGGAGTTTAGGTTCGTACACACTGCCGAAACGCAGTTATCGATGTCCCAAATTATGGAGCTTCTTTGAAGGCCTTACTGATCCAAGTTCATCATGAATGTCCCACATTTCTTTTTCTGCTCAAAGATGGATTTGACAAATTAATAGTCACAATATCGTAACTCATGATATCTCATCAATATTATCTAAACGCTTTTTAAAAGGGCACTTGCTCAACAAGGCTCTCAAACTGGCAGCCACTGCTTTTTCTCCATTCATTTTATGATTCCTGTACTTTTATTTCCTCCTTTTTTCATGGTATGCAATCGTTGTATTCTCTGCTCTCATGATAATATCTGACTCTGGACCTTTCCATTCTAAGACGTTTGGAGTTCTCTTCAAATATGTAAAGAGTCGTTCACAAGTTTTCGGTCGAGATCCAAGCTCCACCGAAAACCTTTGTTTACCTGGACAACGAACATAACGAAAAGAAGGAGGAAGTGTGCTCGACATTGCTTTGCCTTTCTATTTTATTCTTCAGCTGTCCGTGGAGAATTGATTTTTGGGAAGGTAAAAGACGCTGGAAAAGGGCTGAAAAGTGATACCCCCGAAGAGGCTGGAGAGCCTATCTGATCCTCTGGATTTCAATCACGCATGGTGGACATGGGAAAGTCCCTTTCGTACGTGTTGTAGCATGCAACGAGATGTGTTTTAGTCACACGAGTAATCAAGCACCAGGGTGTTCTTTTTGAAGGAAACCCAGTTGGCTTCAGAATCCTATGAGCTCGTACGAATGGTCATAGAATGAAGCAAAATCAGCTTCTTGTAGTCTAACTACTTTATTCCCAAATCTTAAAGTTTACGTTCATGATTGACTGGAAAGGCATTCCACTTAGAGTCATGAAATAAAGCTGGACACTAGATCTTGATAGGTTTTGATCTGTGACTGCGCTATTCGTACGAGGAGCCAAACCTCATTCTCTTCCAGTGCTAGTCCGAGGAACAAATACACTCATAAAGCAAACTTGAAGTCCCGAAATGATCAAAAAGCTCGAACGTTCAGCCTTTTGGGCATCCTCATGATCTTTACCTCGCTCATGGCTGACAGGAAAGATCTGCCCTGATATTTCAGATTATCAAAACCCCATCACTTCTAGAACTTTCATGAGGAACTAAGTGAGAAAATCAAACGTTCAGCCTTTTGGGCATCCTCATTATCTTTAGCTCGCTCATGGCTGACAGGAAAGATCTTTCCTAATATAATAGATTTTCATAACCCCATCACTTCTAGAACTGTCCTGGGAAACTAGAAGAGATCATCAAAAAGTTGAGAGCATTCCAGCAATACTTATGGTATAAAATAAAAGGAATAAAGATAATGGTATATATCAATAGTATCACAAGATGATATAAGTCCCCACCATATGTAAGATATCATAACTGTTGAGTAAAGTCTGGAGTTAAGGCTGAAACAACAACAGTTATATCAATATCAAGTCTAATCATACCATCAGATATATGACTTTGTCTATTGACTTGCCATAAAAAGATGATGACATAACTTATTTTCAAATAACATCAATTGGACATCGAGATGAAATTTTTTTAAATTGTACCATCACACATCACAAGAGTTTAAATTTCTTTTAGATTTTGACTCATTAAACAGATTTATTACACTTTTAATTTATGTCTCTTGATTTAATCATTTTTTGAATACCTATGAACATCAAAATCTAATCTATATTAAATATATCCGAATCTTTTGTCTTGAAAAAAGATTTTACAGGACTTATGCATATTTTGATGTCAAATTGAATCATTCTCAAAATGAGCACGTCATTTACTTGATTAAGTTATGAATTTTAAACAAAAAAAGTCTCAATTATACATAAATAAGTTATTTCTAATATAAGAAAATCAAATACATTATAAAAATCTTTATTCTTTCATGAACTTATCAAACCTTACATTATGTGGTCTAAAAACTCGTATCAATTCATAATGATTTTGAAAATCTACAATGCAACTTATTTAGACTTTTCTTTTCAAAATCAATTATCTGTTTTATACAGATCTTTTGCTCTAAATATCTATCAAAAAAAACTTGGAATTTCTTATTTGATACATGATTTGATTAAATATCAGATTTTTATTCACATATTAGTTGCATTGTAACATACTTTGTTACAAATAGAAGAACTTCATTGAAGTATATACTTTTCTTTTGTGTGGAAAATTAGCCATAATTCTGAGTTTGAAATGCTTATTCTCGCAATCTACTCGATGATTTTTCTACTTAAAAATCAATTTGCTATTAATCAAAGGTTTAATCAACAAGTTTCACCTCTTTTTTTCATTCAATAATTGCATCTCAAAATCCATAACAATATTTTTCTTAGCTTATTTTTTTAGATCTAAGCTTAAATTTATTTCCATTCAGCCATTATTGGACGATTTTAATTGATATCAATTATTTCAATTTGACAATATTTTGATAGAAAATTTTGTTACAACTCTATTATTTAATGTAGTGTTTTAAGATTCACCAATGATGATTTGCTCTGCAAGAATCTATTTGATTTTTTTAAATTATTACTGTTGTGTCACATAATTGATTTCATAGTGATTTTTTTTACCACAGCAATGTCAATAAATGAAGAATTCTAATGTGAAATATTTTTAAAAAGAAATTAGATATGGAGTCATGAAAAAACTATACAGAAAATAACATTACAATTTATATAATTTTTTCTCTATAATTATTCACAGCATTTTTATATATAAAAAATCAACTTTTTTGGCTATAAGATCAAACTTAATCCCATTGTACTTAAATATCAATCACATAGGTAATAATAAATTGCTTTTTTGAGCAAAATATTGTTCTACATTAATCCAACTTCATTTTGAAACAAGTATTGTATTCATGTGAAATATCAAAAATTTATCAAACATCATATTGAAAATGACATCTGTATTCATAATTTAAATCTAAATTGACAATGAATACTGTTTGTCACCAATTTACTGAGAATTATATTAGAGTCATACTTGAATTTAATTGTAATGAACCAAATGCTCATTCTCATGTGAAATAAATGAAGGTAGTCAAAGTGAATTGTAAAGACTAAATGTGTGATACAACCAAGATCCACAACAAGGCATATTTGCAAAAAAAAAATCATGTACAAGGTTTAGATCCAAGTTGAACAACTCGATTGGGTGAAATTGAAATTTATCCTCATCTAATTGAATTTAAATGTGTAAAAACTTGTGAGTTCATATTGCAAATATAAGGTGAAAACATCTTCATTATGTCATAATATTATTAAAAAAATCATATATTTTAGTTTCCTTTAACTAAATATGAAGGATGCAAATCTGGAAGATGATAAAAGTGTTTGGAGTTACAAACTAGTAAAGACCTGATGTGATTTTTACTCCATGGAGAATGAACTTGTTTATGGAAAGAAAATTTACATCTATGTTCATGCCAAATCTACTCCTATCAAAATACACACACACAGATAGATAGATAGATATATATATATATATATAACACATGTTAGTAATCCATGTGAAGTAGTAACTTTTTCTTGCATTTGGACTCTCTTCCCTTCAATATTCATCGTGTAATATCCATTAACGAGCTAATTCAAACATCGAGTCGAGAGCTTGTGATCGGATTTCTCTTCTCTTCATTGCATTGTGGACGATCCGAGCAAAAGTTGGGGCCAGTTCTGCAAAAGTGTCGTGGAGACGGGGCGGCTTTCCACCGCTTGCACCAAAGACAAGCCAGGCCTCGGCCCTGGCGCTCGGAGCTTGGACTTGTTCTTCAAGGAGACGTGCCGTCGCCTCGTATGCAATGGAATTCGGTCTATTTCGGCAGTTGCTCGCTTCCCACAGCGTTTGCATATTGGTGAGGGATGATCCGAGGCCCCACTCGCCTCCCTGTCTACCCAAATAGCTCGGCAGCAATTACTTCCTGCAACACCACCAGCTGATGTGGCCCTCCATGAGCTCCTCAGAACTTCATTGCGCCTCCATTAGTGTCTGCTGCTCGTTGGCCTCCATATCTATTTCTCGCTGCGTTTGATGAGCTACTCGGAGGACAACAGGCATAGGCACGTTGAAAAAGCGTCGACACTGACGCGATGGTTGTCAACGACATTATTCAGCGTCGTGTGATGTATCTACTTGCATACACCTTTTTTAAGTCCGATATCCGATCAGGACTCGGAGGAATTCGTCTACTGCTGAGGACGAAAATCACGTAACGAGCAGTGCCGTGCCAGTTGCACGGCCGCCATGCTGCCACAAAGAAAGCTTGTGGCCAGCGTCACGATTTCCAAGTCCATGTCGGTTCAGTCACTGCTTTCTGAGCTCTAATGTTGTTTAAAGCGCAAGTCTGAAGGCTGAAGGCTGAGCTGAGATGCCCAATTGTAGCTGGTTGCGTTGGAGCAAACCTGCCTTGAGAAATCCAAGCCCCAGCCTAATAGTTAGAACCAGCGTGTGTACATCTTTCGATGTGGCAAGTTCAGGCACGTGACGAGGCTTTACTCAAACCGAGAGGGCATTGGAATTACTGACGGTTATGTGTGGAGCAGTAATCTACGGAACATGCCCCAAGGATCACATGAGCCTGGTGAGGGAATCATGCAGCAACCGCACCATGTTTTCGGTCTGTGCTCAGGTGCAGAGAGATTTATTAAGCTTCAACGAACACCAGCGCATCTTTATTTGTTTAGTTTTAGAGACGAGGTACAATTTATGCTTCATCAGAAGGCGTACGTTTGTTTGCTCATCTCTGGATGGATGCCAACGTCCTTGCAAAGTGCCGAGGACCGATCTGGCTGGTTCTATCTGTAACAAGTCTGAGCAATCTTTCAAAGATGGGAATCCGAGTCGCTATATGAACCGATAAATCATCCATCACTGCTTACTGCCCCTCAGACTCAGTCTGTACATAAAACCGGAAGCTAGCTCGGTTGGAGCAAGTTTACAACTAGTACATACACCACTTCAGTATCAAGATCAAACGAAAACAGGCTCATCAGCTAGAATCGGGTGAAATTCATTCAAATCTACAGCCTAGGCCCTGGCATTTTCGTGTTTTTAACCTCTCCTAGTACAACAGCAGGTTTCAGGTTCAGAGCTTACAGGTGAACATCGGAGCTTCCGACATTTGTATGCGTTTGGGGTGTTTACATCGTGATCAGGAGACATTCATGCAGTCCGGCGTCTTTTCCTACAGGACCTATACAATGTCAATCCAAAGTGCGGTTCACGTGGAGATGAATGAGAGCCAAGCGATAGCTATCTCATGCTTTCATGAAAAGAAGTTGCAGATCCACGCTGTTCTCGATTAGTACTTTGGATATTTTGAAATAAAACGCTTCTCTTGTGATGATCGATTATGCATCTAAATTTTAGCACCCGCTCTGTATCAGCTCATCATGTTCGATATATAAAATTACACTGCTCTGTAATTTTATATATCCTTGATAATATAGAATTCCAAAGTTCTACATTTTCAGCTGGAAGAAGAAGCGCAGTGATTCTGAAAAATTTGAATAACTTTGAAAACAATATGCTTCATGGCGATGGGTGCAGGAGTCCAGCCAACTCTCTGGTTGAAGTAAAACTTCAAAACTAAACAACTCGGATGGCATCCACCAATGTCACTCTCGGAGATGTTGACGATTGCAGAAAAAAACCGAGGCAGGACGGGAGCCCACGGGCAAAGCACAAAGCAGGCAGTGAAGCAACCAGCATTTTCTTTATTCGCCCAATGAAAGCGGCACACTCTACAGGGCAGAAGAAATCAACAAACTGTACACCTTAAGCAACAGCTGAATCTATCTCCTTCAATCGCCTTCATCCGACCTGTCCACCACGTTTTCACCACAGGTGTGCGACTTTCACACCACCGGATGTTCGACATCACTTTGGCGTAACTGTACTATCCGCTTTGTGGGTCGGCATTCCTTTCGCAGCGTTTATCGATGTGAGCATACTATCCAGTCCTACGTCTGACCAGAAGTAACTAGATGCACTAACCTCAAGAAAGGATAGTCACAGAAAATCTATGAACAGGAGAATTCGATGGTACAGGACCCAGAGAGAATATGAATCAGAGGCCTGAATATATTCACTTCAAAAGTTGATGTAGTAAACTTTCAAGGATATATCGCTACATCCAGAAAATCCCCTGTCTGCACATTGTTGTCGTTAAGGTGCATTAGAATCATGCCCAACTTTTTAACACATGACAATCAATCTCTAAGTCAAGAAGAGAGAACAAAGCACAAGAGATTCTCGAATCACGGTGTACGGTGGAGTGCGTAAGTCAGGAAGAAAAATGAAATATCAGACGTTACAACTTCACAACACACACCACTAAACTAAGAAACGTGGCCAACCTGAAAACTGAGTTCTGCTAGACTTCTGGCATCATCTCCTCCTCTTCTAGAACTGCCATTAGCTTGTGTCATGCCAACCTGCAGAAAAATATTTTTTCATCTCGATAAGAAAGCCCAGGAATATATGCATTTAGTACCATGTTCTAAACATACTAGAGAAAAGATTTGCAGTACTCTATGATAAGAATGTTCATTCTTATCCGTATCTCATTCTCATTCATCACATAATACCGTTCTGTGATATATGGAATTTGATATTACATCCTAAATATACATAAATACACATCATATATGCATTGACCCGGCCCCACCCTGGACGCCGTCATCCCTAAATCGCGCATTAATCTACGCAGTACTTGTAAAGCATTAGTAAGATAGAAATTACACCAAATCCTCAAAACCTGTCGAGGGACAGGTTTTGAGGATCTCACTACTAAATCAGCAAGCATGTCCATTGAACTCTTCATATGGATGAAAGTTGTATCAATTTTCTTATGAAAAGTAATGTGATCTACGTTCTCTAGTAGCACGGAGTAAAATCGAGAATGGAGTACATTCTTAAATAATGTAAGAATGGTAAGTATTAAATAAAGAATTATGCTGCACCTAAACATTTCTCGTCGCATTCACGTAGACAAAACTGACATAGCAATTATGTGTGTTAGATACCCATCTGCACCCATGCTTTTGCCAGCAGAACAACCCAGAAAAGAAAGCAAAACACTGAGGACAAGAACCATAATTCTTTATATTGCGATATGAGCGAGAAGTCTTTTAAAAGCAAGGTACATTTACTCTACAGCAATTTAGGAGTAATTCGTCGAGAAACTAGCAAGAGAAATTGCCCTAGCAAGAATACAATGCTGAAGAGGAACACCATGTCTACCTCAGTGCCCTAACGGTGCGGAAGTAGCAGCAGAGGAGATCTAGTATATCTGATCGTGATTTTCTTCATGACTCTAGATCAGACAGGGCTCAATGAGTTTCTCTTTAAGTGAGACACGAAATAGATGTTCAGATTCATGAATAGAAAGTCAGAGAGGGGTTATTAAGACCACTTAGTTATTGATCCCCGGCGTGAGGTAGATTAAGATTCGGTGCACTGGAAGTAAGAATCAGCAAGGGACGACGTAATCTCGACTGGGCAGAATCAACACATACTACAGTCTGCATAATACATGTCATCCACATACGCGAGACTGCAAATCAACACTTAACTTACATTTCTTATCACGTTGCGGCCCCGTCTGTCAGGATACACAAACGCAAATGATAGCCTGGCATCTCGTCTTCTTGCTGAGGGAGAAACTTCCTTCACCTAGATTCAAGGAAAGAAGAAAAGAAGTTTATGTGATCCGACTACCTCAAAGTAATATACATACTGCAAAGATCATCCTTGCAGAGCTCGAACTCTCATCTACCGGGTACTATTCATTCTCGACTTTCTTCAGTTTCCTCACCAAATTTTCTGTAAAGATGAAGACATTGTCAGTCTGCAGCACAGAATGCGGTCAAATTTGAGGGACATATCTGGCACAGGCAGCTCCGCCTATCCTAATTACCCTTCTATAGCTTCTATAGCAGTGGGACTTACAAGTTCGGTAAGTTCTCGTAGAGTAGCATCGCGCCAAGTGTAGATTTGAACCTCCTCTTTGGGTTCTTTACCTCGGACAGAAAAATCTTCCACAGTATGATGTCCGCCGTTCTACAACCACGTGATAGGATAGGAGAATAACAAGGTGAACACAATGTCAAGGTGTGACACAGAAACCTATTCGCCATTCCATCATTCCTGACGATACGTGTCCGTCTTTGAACTTGACCAAATATTGTGTGCAAAGGTGATTACTCTGAAATTTTCCTCACATAATTATATTTGAAGGCAGTTGCCTCAAAGTGAAGTTTACACATCACAACAAACACATCATCACAACAAATCAATAAAAGTAGAGGACACGGAGCTCACAACACTAACTACGGATGTGAATAGGTACGTTCGTGCAGGTGAGTATTCCTAATTGTATGAAGACACAATAGATACTATGTACAGAGACAATGTGCTCTTCTTCAACAATTCCACATACCTTGGTGAAGACACGCAGAAGAAGTGGGCATGTCTGAAAAACGAACATACAGTTGCCAACAACACTAGTCAGATTGAGGCACAATTTATCTACATCCGCAAGCGGTCATGTAGTAGCTGAAACAGAAGCCAATCTTCACGCTTATAATGCAATGCCTTGAATGCAAGTGAAATTCTTCAAAACTTTCATCCTTCTTTTATGAACAACAGGATGAAAACCTAACAATGCTACACACAGAAAGTAACAACTATTATTGAAGACAATTGTCGCTGCCAAATGTATCGAAAAGTACAGGAGTTCGTCCGAGACCTTCTCACGATCCACAAGGGGAGGTCTAGGGGGACCCTGGTTCATCCGGGGGACGGGGATGGGCAGACGAGCTGGGCGAGATTGAACATCCGCTGCCGCAGCTGCTGCTGCCGCCGCCAACGACATCTTGGAACCGTGCCTTTCACCTCCTGCCACTTCCATCCCCGACAGAGAAATGGACACCAAAAGGAGCTCACTTGTCAAACTCCCACCGTCCGCCAGAATCTTGAGAAATGCAAAGCGATCGAACCAGAGAGACAAGCAGCGAAATGGGTCCGAACTTCGTCGACACACAGGCAGCAAACAAACACACCAACGACCAAACCCTTCGTGGCAGAGAAGCCAACGTCCCAACAAACAATTGGCAGCAATTTTCAAAATCGGAGACAAGGCCAAGCAGCCTGCGTGACTGACCGCAGGTAGGTTCCCTCCACTTTGGATCCTCTTCTTGCTGATTTGGTGACGCAGCTTGTCGCCCTTGAGGATTTTCGACGAGAAATAGCGAGAGGGATCTTCGTAGAAATCAATTGACGAAGCGCGAAGTCGAGAGTATTCCGTGGAACGAGCGAGCCGTTTAGTTTAGCTGTCTGTAGTGCGAGGGTTTAGTTTACAAGTCCCGCTAACTCCCTCTGGCTCTCTCGCCAATCTTGTACAGTGCCTATGTATTTGTACGGATTAGCTTCGTTTTCTTTTATGTATAAGTACAACTTTACCAAGAGCCAATTTTCGGCTCCCTAGCTTAGGGGCAAAACGATAATGAGATGGATTTCTTCGTATGAACATACAATCCAAGCAATTGATTTTCAGCTGGTTTTTATATCTCTTGCAATCTTTCCGGTTTAATTTTTAGAGTAAGAATACTCTCAAAACACCCAAAAATTCCTACAAACTTATAGAACATATTTAATAAACATTTCATTCTTTCATGTGATTATTTTAAAACATTTATACACGTACCTAATCATGATATGAGCGTAATTAATATATTGAAAACAAATAAATATATATACATATAATTTATTCTCTAAAAGATCTACCATATTACTTCATTATTCTATGCAGAGTTTATCTATCCGAAAACATCTAATAAAATATTTTAAGTTTTTTCCCAATATTCATATTTGTCAGAGGACTATACTGTAACTAAGCTTCATTCTATTTATTGCAAGAATTATCCATATGTTTGTGGCTGAATCATATTAAGAACAGATTCTACGCAAGTATGTAACAATATCAAGTATAAGTTAACATATATTTATCATACTTACAATGCCACAATTACTGTGTTTACATTTTTCTTCAATGTTCACCTTAATATGCATTGTAAATGTTGTTTAATCAATGATTATACAAAAAATTTATAAAATTTTTTTCTTGAAAAAATACTATTACGCATTTCAGTTATTATATATGAATATTTTGTATGAACATATGTTAAAAGAATGAGAAAAATTGTTGTCAATATCACCTAGAATTCATTGAAATTACATGAGTTAATTTTTGAAAATATTTACCATGTATAAAAACTTTAATATCAAAATTCCATCATGATAAATTTGAAATTGTATAGAAAGATTAAATTGTTTTAATGTTCAATATAGCTATTACTAACAATAAGTTTCCTACATATATTGATTAACACAACTCAGTATTTGCTCTTTTGGAGATTAGATTCAAAAATACTAATGTTTGGATGCATTAGATTTTTAACTTATGTTACATTGATACTACGTTTAACAGAAACAGAGTAAAAAATTTGGACCGGTCTGAGTTTAGTTATTGGCGAGTTTGGCATGTAATGTTACAAACCATTATATGCACAAAACACGAAACATAGAAACCTTTCAAACAAAATACATTTCTCATCAATCACGGTCTGCAATCAACGTTCAATGCACATTGCTATTCTATGAGCAAAAAATCATCTAATTTTTATGAACAGAATATAAGATATGTGATTTTTAGAAGGAATCAGGATATGATTTCTAATCCTGCAAGCTTTTGGTCACAATATCTGAGTAATAGATGCTTTAAAAAAACATGTAATGAAAATTTGCTACAAATTATACTTATGCATGAATAGTAAATTAGATTGCTCTGCATTTGACAAAGTAAATAGGATCTAAATTGAATTTATCATATGATTTAATATTTTTGTAAATTTTCATATAGAATTAGTTGCATTGTACGAAACAATGATCTTATTTGACTCATTTTTAATTTAACAAATGTGTTTAGCTTTAAACGTTACATTGATGTCTAAATGTTTGTCAAATTATGTCACGTTCAAAAATTATTTTCAATATGAATTTTCAAATTGAAAATTTCAATATTTGTCAAATAGTAACATGTCATTTTAATGAAAAGTATTTTCAGACAATAAGATAATATATATACTTAAATAATTTTATAATAATATATACAAATTTAATTTTTCAATCATGTGTTTCTTGTTTGCAAAGCAAAAATACGACCAGAATATTTGATTCTGCAATGCCCAAACGATTTGTAATTGATATTGAAACTTTCATCGTGCATGTAATCAACAAATGTCGCTCATAGAATTTTTGAAACTAGATAACAGATTCACCATTGTCATTTTGTTCTATGCAAATTGAAAACAGGATAAGTTCCACTAGCGCGCTGACTGAAGAATGGATTTACGTCCATACTTGCCTTGGTACTCAAATCTTCACTGGACCATCTTAAAATTACAAGCTTTAAGTGTATGAAGGTAAGTCGAGTTTTCTAAGTGATCTACCTCATGTGAGTACTCCAGAAACATTTCTAAGTTTTATTCGATGACATCTCTGCATGTCTCTCAGCTACAATTTCTACGATTTCCGAAATAGTATTCTCTCTTCAGTATTTAACTTCACAGTTAACTCTGGACATAGTTTTGATATAGTTCAAAGCTATGTCGAGATACTCTCTGTACAGAATTTCGCCTTTTCGTTGCAACTGACTGAACTTCGTACGAGTTGTCACATTCTTGTGCTAAATGAACATTTTCATTCTCACTCCCAAACCCGAAGTGCGATATAATTCCCAAACCTCTTACACTACCTCTGAGTCCACGGCGATCGTTTTTTCGCTTTAAAGTCTCAATGGAGCTTTTTTTTCACTCCCGGAACAAAAAAGATCTCGATTACCGCAAAGTAATTTTCGGACTACCGCAAACAAACTTGTACAATTCTCAAGTGATCGATCGAATGATAGATTTGAATTGTAAAAGCGTCTGTTAACGTGCTGCAGTTCCCAGAGAAAATGCTCGAGGGATCGAAAGAGAGATACAGTATAGCGGTGGCTCGTGCTGTACAACGCATGCTACGTGGCCTTCACCCCGGGCTCTCACCGCTCAACCCTTACCAAGAATAGGACAGACGAAGGAATCACATGACCAAATGGGACACCCGCTCTGATTCGGCCGTTGACGGTAACCGATGACCGTTTAGTACAACGCTCCGTCACCTCACTGAGAACAGGTGTCTAAGCGAGCTCGTTAATGGCCATCTGTGACCATGAGCCTCTTAGATATGGAGGGGGGAAGTTTCGCGAGGAGTAAGTTGCAATACAGACCCGACGGACCTGCTCTTCCCGGATGTCTATCAAGTCGTACAGTTCTCCAGTACCCGGTCCTTCTGAGCAGTACTCTGAGCAAAAGTTACTGGCCAGTAGTTTAATATCTTGCAACACTCGTCGTCCAATCAGAGTGGGGAGGAGAAGTACATGGACTTCGAAATCCCTAGCCAATGTATCAGCCACCCAGATACTCTGCGATGAATGCAACAATGCAGCATGCGGCACACGTCACCAGGCAAATCAGATCTCTTCCTACAGCTGCAGAACTGCGATCAAATACTGCTGCCAGTCCAGCAGGACACACGAGACTTTCCCCTTCAAGAATTACTCCGGGGCGCAGAACGCCATCAGTGAAACAAACCCATGGCAGAGAAGGCCAGGAGAGCTCAACGGACACTTCTTTATCGGAAGTATAAGATTCACAGTATGTACATTGCTAGGCGTATGACGGCGTGGGCATTATGATGGCTTGCTACCCTTGCGGATTCGTAGCTGCAACCGATCTAATCGCATCTGCAAGAGACACAAATGCTTGGCAGTAACTGATGGCGATTCTCTCGTTGGCTTCTAGAGTCCTTTCTAATCTTCTAACGTTGGCTTCCAAAGTCCGTTCCAATCTGCGATCCTTGCGGTCTTCGCACTCCAATAAAATCTTCTGGGTGGCGAGGTTGCTTCTCTCCATTATTTCAGCCAATGATTCATTTATTTTGACAGAAGCTTTACGCCTTTTGCGAGACCTTGAATCTACAAAAGGATCACTCCCCGGGTCACTATCACCTTGATCTGAGCCTGACAAGTCTTTATTACTACCTGCCCTGCCTGAATCTGCAAATGATTCAAACGATTTCTCACTTAAAAAGTTGCCAGATGGAAAGCATTGTCATCAAATACCAAAAGAGCGTACATGGCAGACGGGAGTACTCCCAGAATTACACGCAACTCCAGTAATATGAATTTTGAAAATGCTCGTGCATATAGGCAGAAGTCAGACAATCCACATCAGAAATAGAGCGAACTTACCTTCTTGATGTTGAGCCTCTGAATCATGAGCTATAGTTTCAGATCCACCATTCCTATCTTTTGTGAACCATTTAGACATGGCAACAAAAACATCTTGCCAGAACGTAAGAGGGAGTCTTTTGGACTTCTTTTCTTCTCCTGTCAAAGTCCAGTAGTTTGCAGTATCATCTGTCACGTGTCTCTGGTAATTGTGTATCTTTTTGAAGTCTACACTCATTTTCTCCCACCGATCCTTGCATTGCTGACCACTGCGACACACATTTTGTCGAAAGCAGAAGTCTTCTACTGCTTGCCATCGGTCAGCTGCCTTCCTATTCTTCTCCTTAGCTTGCCTCTCAAAATCATCCTGCTTGGCTGCCTGTAGTACCATACACTCCTCCAAGGTCCAGTTGGTCTTCTTGTAATCTCTACCGGGCTTTTCATCATGAGCACTAACGAGAAGTTCACCATCAACCTTTCTCTCTTTATCAACGCTAGAGTCAAACACAGGCGCGCTTTCCGGATCAGTGCCGTCTTCATCTTCATCGGTGCCGAAAAATCCCTCATCTCCTATGAAACAATTCAAGATTCCTTTATCCTCAGAATGCAATGAAATTTCTTGTGCGAGCATTCGAACACTTCTGACGACCAATGGGATGTAATAAAACACTTCAACAAACTCGATCCCATACACAATACATGACTCATATCAATATCTCCTATGTCCAAGGGTAGATTCCTGCATCAAATTCGAAATGCATGATGTGTGATCTAAATGAATCCAAAATGACGAGGTGGATAGAGATTTACCATCTTGCCGTTGAGGTTGCGAGGAATCATGAATAACGACACGCAGGTCAATATTCCTGCTTTTCCCAAACCAATCACTCATGGATGAGAACAACTTCTCCCAAAAAGTCGATGGTAAGCGCTTAGCCTTCTTTTCTTCTGGTGTCATTAACCAGTAACTCTTTTGTCCAATTACATTCTGTTTCTCGTAATCCGAGATCTTTTTGAAATCTGCACTGAGCTTATCCCACCGGTCTCTACATTGCTGACCACTCCGATAAACCCCACGTGACCAACAGTACTCTTCGACTGCTTGCCACCTCTCCGTTGCAGACAAGTGCTTCTCCTTAGGTCCACTGTTGTACTGCCTCTCCAAATCTTCGCGTTTGGCTCCTTGCAGCACGAGAGATTCCGGTAAAGTCCAGTTGGTCCTTCTGTACTCTCTGCCATTAGCAATTCCCTCTCGTTCTCCACTCGCAAGATCACCATCAGTACTCCGTCTTTTTCCGGAGCCAGATTCTAATAACGGTTCTGCAGCCGCTTCTTCACTTTCGGCTTCATCTGACCCCGAGAACCGCCCTACGCTGCCCGCTTTGGCTGAAGCTGTAGAATCGAGAGAACGTAAAATTTCAGTTTGAAACATAGGCGCTGTTAGCTCGTTAGCTCGCTGTTAACTCTAACCAAAAATAAAAATAGTCAACTGACACTCAAACTGAAACACACACGTCGCATACCAAAACAATCAACGCAATTAAACGTTCCAGTCTACACGCGTGATTAGACAGAAATATTGAAGATCCCAAATATATGAATATATGACTCCTGCATTGCCTTCATAGATTATAGGGCATGCGTTTACGTATCGTATGAAGTTCCACCAGTATATACAAACTTCCACAACAAGTCCCAACTGTACTAAATTGAACACTTCAACTTGCCTTTCGGCTCTAAACTTTTCGGCTCATTCAAAGATACATGGATCTATACTGCCTAGTGTAGATCGACAGAGTGGCCTGGAGGTGAACTAATGGATCAAAAGGCATTTGGTAAATGTGCGGATGAAGGGAATCCTTTAGTCTCACAATAGCAAGAGCAGTATGATGTTATATATTCTTCACAACTAAGATCACTACCGTAGCTACTTCCAGACCTCCATGCATTTTACGCACAAGAAACTATAAAAGTTGAATTGTCCGATTGAACAAATCTTTGAACTCGCTCCTTCACAATTAAGGTCCGAATTCATATAATAGGTAAAGATTAGTACACCAAAAACATCATCCCGACTGATAACCGCTTGAATTGCTGCCCGAACACATCCAAAACTATCCAGATCAAGCAATTTGCGTTAAACAAAATATCCAGAAAATTTAAGGACTGGAGAGACTCCCATGCAAAGCTGATCAAAACTTATATTGTCTGATAATGTATGCATTGCTGGCCTCTGCGAACTATGAGCTAATTCGCAGCGTGCAAGAGAACCATATCACTTTTCACATACAGCATAAATTTTTAAAATTCCTTGAGAATCCGGTTAATCCATGGATTGTTCAAAAATTGGGAATATTATCAGCTAAGTTGATGTCAATAGAGGAATGCAAAGTATGATCCAAAAATTTACTAGCAAACACATGATTTTCACATAGATAGGACTATATGACCACATTCAACGGCAGGTTTTACATATTTTTTGTATAGGGGCCCTCTGTAGCTTAGGAAATTGCATCCATAATTCTATCTCTGACATATTGCTTGAACGATCAAGGATTGACACCTTCACAGTCGCATATTGCCCACCAACAATCCGTGAATATCGTCCCGAAATTCAAACATGTCACTTCACGCCCAGCAAGTTTGAGACACAGAGACCAGGCGATCCCAACGATACAAAAGAAAATTGAAGAATAGACTGAACCAATCGAATTCAAGCAGCAAGCAAATACGGATTCCACTTTGTGATCAACAACAGAAAAACACAAAGCACAACACGGACCAATAAACTCAGCGAATTCATAAAAATCCAACCTCACACACATGTAGCTGGGGAAGGATGACTTGCCTTCCGGCTCCCGCAAAAGAGATCCTAAATTGTCTTGATTCCCATTTGCTGTGTCGGCGCCTCTGCCTCTAGTGAACCACTGCGACAATCCATTGTAGACTTCCTGAAAGAAAGTGTTGGGGAGTCGCTTAACTTTCTTCTCTTCCAAAGTCATCTGCCAGTAGTGCATCTGACCATTCGAGACGTGCTTCTCATAATCGTAGATTTTTTTAAAATCTGCGCTCATCTTCTCCCAGCGGTCCTTGCATTGCTGGCCACTTCTCTGTACATTATGAGTCCAACAAAATTCCTCCACGCCCTGCCACCGCTCGGCTGCAGTTTTATGTTTCTCCTTGGGGCCACCATTGGTCTGTCTCTCGTAATCCTCGCGCTTGGCGGCCTGAAGCACCAGGCATTCGCCCACAGTCCAATTCGTCCGCTTGTAATCCCTCCCATTTCTCGCACCACCGCCACCACCATCGACCCCGCCTCCTTGATCCACAGGCTGCAAATTGGCACTGACGCACAGCGGCTGCGCTGGTATCTGATTACCGTTATTGACAATAGTGAGAACCCCCGAGTCTGCTGTCGAATTATTGACATCCGGGGCCATGTTGCGCCCACTCCCTGCCTCCCTCCCTCCCACCTTCGCTCTCCTTCCTCTTCACCCCGCGCCCGCTTCCCCTGCCCCCTGCCCCCTGCCCACCTCCCCTCCCTGCCTCCCTCCCTATGTGACGGGTCTATGCACAAATGGATTCAGGAGAAAATATTCCGTTGCCCTTTGCAAGGGCTCGCTTCTCCACCGTTTTCCTCGACACTCCACCGGATCCCGTGCTGTGTCGCGTGCCGTCCACCACCTTCATCGCAGAGAGCTCCCTCCCGGCCTCCCTCCCTCCCTCCCTCCCTCCACCTGCTCAACTGCAATCTCGTAGCTCTCCACAGACATTCGCTCGGCGGATCGTCGTCGGCCCCCAGACGGAAGAACGAAGCGACCAGGGAAGGAAAGAAACCACAGTGAGACTGGTCATCTGTGGTCACTCGCTCGCTCGCCGCCCCGCTCGGGACCCTGCAGGGCACAAAAGGAACGCAGACCCGCACCCCGCCCCCCCATCCCGCTGCTCCTCCTCCTCCTCTTCACCACCACCGCACTGACCGCCCAGATGGACATGGCGCCCCAGCCCCAGCCACCCCCATCTCCGGTCCCGCGCTCGCCCTCGCCCTCATAGCTCCCGGCTCCAGCAGCCAGCCAGCGGTCGGCTTCTTCACCACGCGCCTCTCCCACCTCTTCTCCTCGGCAGCTCGAAGCCCTTCCCTCCGCCCGCTCAGCCCCCGTCCTTAACGTTGCTGCTGCCGCAGCAACGTTAAGAGAAGGCCTCATCGGCCACATCAGATGCCGCGCGGCCGGACGAGAGCTCCCTCTTGCTTTCTTTCTCCTGCTGCTGCTGCGGCCGCTGGCCGACGCGTACGGGACCGCGGACGTGGCCAGTCAGCACCGGTGGGCCGCCCTGGGGCTGCTGAGTGTTCTCCACCTGCCCGGCTCGGCTTCTGCCCGACGTCCCTCATCTAGCACACGCTCGCATGCCCGACCCCGGCTCGGGCCAGGCTCGGCCCGACCGTCCGTCCGCCCGCCCGTATGACGTTCTTTGTTCGGCCTGCCCGACTTTCCACCGACCACCCGCAAATACACCTACATCGCAGCCCGGACCTCCTCCTCTCGCGTGGCGTCCCTTTGAAGCGGAGGACCGGCGCCCGATCGAGTGACCGACATCTCGCGTCGGCTTCCTCTGCGACTTCTTCCGAGGACCAGGACTCGTTTGTCGTCTTTCATCGTTGCTGCCCGCCGGGTGCCAACCTACTGTTCTGTACTGCTGATCCCGTCGCCTACGGGCTTTCGAACGTAACCGGGAACCGGGAAATTCGTAGTTCCCGCGGTAGGAAGTAAAGTACTCGGAGCCTGTACTCGGGCCCTGTATCGCCGTATTAAATCACACTGTAAATCCAAGCGCGATGGCATTATTGCTCGGAAGACAATCGAGTCATTCATGACGGCACTGATCTCCTTCTATGTTCCCCCGGACGCGCAAGGCTCCCGAGGCCGCGGCATTCATTTCAACGAGAATCCTTCAGGACGGCCGAATGAGGAAGTGCCCTTGAAGCATCCAAGGCGCTAATGATCCTGCAGCTCCCAAATATAATTTTCGTTCCCGATGCGGAGGCTAGTGAATAACGGAGTGAACAGGACCGCAGTGCGAGCGACTCCGGGATTTGATTGCAGCACAGTGCCGCAGACGGGCTGGCGGGCTGGCGGGCTGTGTCTCCTGTACCTCTTTCGCTCGCGGATTCCATCTCCCCGCAGCCCGCACCAGAATTTCACTATCAGGAGCATGCAGTCACACCGCAACCTGCGAACCTCTGCAGATTTTATGAAAACGCTCCGTAATAACCCCCGCTTTTCTTAGAGGGCGGTTTTCCCTCCCTTACCAGATTCTCTATTCTCCCTCGGCGACCTCTCGGTTACGACAACGACACTGTACTGCTGCAGTGCAGGCCTTCGTCCCGGAGATGTCGCGTGTACCAGAGGGTGTGGAACTCTTTCTTCTGACGGAGGACAAGGAGGCGGGCATCAAAGGATTCCAGTGTGCCTGCCTGCTCTACTCTGCTTTGCTTTTCGTTTCTTTTCCTTCGTCTGCCCCTACCTCAGGCAATCCAACCTTCCAGCGCTCCTCCTCCTTTGGCCTTTTCTCCAAATACCCGCCTGCAACCAACCTTCCCTCAATATGGTCAACCACATCCCACCATCCACAGCCCCTCTTCCCTCGACTCGACTTGCGTCATACGTTTGAATGTACCTCACCGTTTCCATCATTCACCATCCTCGAAACGCGTCCTCGATCGGTAGTAGCCCTGCTATGTCATGAGAGAGAGAACGAGTGAGACAGACCGAGTGAGAACATTGGAGTCCTTTCAGAGGCGGAAGCTGCATAGGACGGCAGGAGTCGAGGGATAGGGGCGGGGCGCGAGCATATTTTGCGGGCTCGGACGGGTGGCTGGCAGGGCATGAGATCAGACTGGAAGCGCATACGCATCGGATATCGTCATCATCTTCGTCGAAAGTGCATGACTGCTGTTCATGAGAGCTTGCAAGCATTGATGTGCATCTGCCACGACTTATGATCAGCCTTTGTCCTATTATGCTGGGTACGAGTAGACAGCCATGATCAATCCGCAGCAGTGATGCCATTGTGGCCCGAAATGATACTGTCCAGCGATGGCAGATTTGTTGCTTTGTTCTGGTCGTTTTGGTTCTAACGCTTGTCTAGCCGAGGTGCATTCGTAACGCTAAGGGATATTGCCGAGAGGGAAAACAGACCTGGCCCTGGCCTTGGGTGGGTGGCGGCCGAGGCCTCGCACCAGTCAATCTCTCTTTCAGGTGCCGGGTTCAACCCCACCCTCCCCCGCCCCCCCCCCATTTACAGTACCATCTGTGACCAGAGATAGAGGAGACTTCCCCTTTCTTCCTAGTTCTCGGTAGAGGCTCTGTGTCTCGTCTGCTCGACCCTTCCTGGTCAGACTTCCGATCCGTGATCAGCAGTGTCACGGTCGCAGAGTGTGCATACGCTCTGAGAGAGAGAGAGAGAGAGAGAGAGAGAGAGAGAGAGAGAGAGAGAGAGAGAGAGAGAGAGAGAGAGAGAGAGAGAGAGGTCAGCGTATTTGCCAGTGGGCGTACCGACCTAACCTTACCAACAGTCATGTTAGTCATCCGAGCTAACCCTCTCGTGGGTCCGAGCAGAATCTGTGGCGATATGCCCAGCTTTCGGCAGATCCCACTTCTTCCGGGCTGGTGAACTGTAAAAGAAGAACAAAGTCCTGCGCTATCCACATGAATTTTGGCCCCCTGTAGCGTTGTCATATATTTCATACTCGGTCCAATGTCGATGGGGAGCCGGGAGCTGGGGAGGACGTGCAGGCACTGGGGGACCAATCAGACGTCCATTGTCCTATATAACGAACGGGAACCCGCTCCCGATGTCTAGAGCTGGGTGATAGTAGGGGGGACTCGTGAATCCCCTGAGTGACACTAGCCCAGTGGCATGGCACGGCAAGCCAAGTCAAAACCGACTTCACGCCAATGCTGACTAGCGCCCCGCTGAGCTGCTGGACCGCTGGCGGTGCTGGTGATGGTGCTGGGCGGCAGCTGGTAACACAAACGGAAGGCCACACTTTGGAAAGGGGGAGCCGGCTGGAAATCCAGACTTCAAAGCCGGTTCTGCTGCCAGTCAAGGCCGGTGTCAGCTGCGAAACAGTTGCCGCTGACCGCCTGTTAGAATCAGAGTACCGATCGAGCCGATATGGCCGAAAATGGCAACCATGTCGCCCCCACCACATACACACACCAAGGCCCAAAGCAAGATGAGCCAGCCAGCCGGTCAGTCAGACCGTCTCTTGAGAATGTCAGTGATGAAGTTCAGAGCGCGTCCATCTAAATTCGACGACTCTGAGCTTGTGAGCAACAGTGGTCCAGTTCGATCTACGTGAAGGGAACGTACGTTTCCATCTTCCTATCCCCTCGCCCCCTCCCTCAGCAGGGACCCATTCCATTCTTTCCCTTGTCCTTTGCGGTACCCTCGAACATTGCAGATGATCTGTCTGCGTATCGAATGTTTATGCATTTCTTTCCAGAACATTTGGCAGCGTTAATAATTGTTTTTGTGACCGGGTACTGTTCGTGGGTCTTTGGACAGTAAAGTTTCGGGGGCCCTTAGGACAGGACGCACGACATCTGTCATGCATGGGCCGAAACTTGAGCTTTAGGGATGGTTATGACCCGCACCATGTGTGTTTACGTATGATGACTAGTCTGGGACAGATTCTGCAAAGTTCGTGAGTGCTCCCAGATCTTGGACCTGTTGGGACGCTCGGAGGTATTTCTATTCTCTCGGAAAGAGGTTTCTTCTTTCTTTCATACTCCTGACGTGAACTTCAAGGCTTCAGATATGTAGGAGCTACAGTTCTCTGGGCGAATGTACACAGCACAAGCTGACAAAGCTCAACACTCCATAAGCTACCATAACTTCTCCACTGACTTTTCGAAGCATGCAAGTCATCGGTGACCATCCTTCCTTGATTAGAGCACGAATCGGACCCGCCGACTGTCGAAGGACGTGAGGGGATGCTTTTCGTGCGAAACGAGAGAAATCTACAAGTCGAGGGTGGTGGGTTCGCGCAGGGCTCAGCTTTGACAGCCTCCTGATTTGAGCAGAAGTTGGAAGAGTCCTGAGAGAAGGAGCTGGTCAAGTGGCTGAATTGTTTTTGTCCATCTGGTGAATGAAAGCTAAAAACAAGAAGTTACTTCCACCAAGGAGCAAAAATCACACGGATGCTACCTGTGATCAGGATAATATCGCAAGTGTTAACGACGGGCAGCATCACAGGAGTCCATGGAGACTTAGACATGACTGGACAATGGTCAGTCTAGTGAAGTGACGTTGTCTACAATAGCACAGCAAAATGGTTAGAACTAGACATAGCTCATTTTGTTCTTCCTTCTTCACCTACAAGTGAAGGGGTCATGTTGACCGTGGTGAAGTTGGAATTTAAGCTTGGTCAGCTAATACACCCATTTTTGTACGTTCACGAGACAATCTGCTTTTACAGACTTGATTGCACAATTGTCGAGTTCGGTGCAACAGTGTCTCTGATCTCTTTGGGCCTCAGCTACTTCACACACTCTCCGATTCCCCCACTTATGTGCCTGTGTCAATTTATGACGGTGTGCACTTATGTTCTTCTCACGAGAGCCTCACTCCCACCGCTTTTACCTCGAATATCTTCCCTGTCTTTGGGACTGGTCATTGGTGATATGTTGTCCTCATACTCGATATCTGCCAGGTGTTGTGCATGACAAAATGAACTCTGGAAAACTCAAACAGCACTTAAACTGCAATAGTTTTGACTACACTGAGCTGGTCGTCATACCGGGGTTTGAGAAGATTAGAAAAGATCTTTGTTACGGTATTTAAGTTTCTATGAATGTGGAACGTTTTATAACACTCTTGATGAAATCCAAGCGATGGGCGATCAATGTACGGATGTCCTGAGACATGTATCTGTGGTAGACGCAAATCATATGAAGTTCAGTGTTTTTGAGCGTTATAGATCGAATTGATGGAGCCGTGAAACCTCATTCCCCAGTCACCGATTCTATAATATACTTCCAGGATTGCATCGTTATTCGAAAACATCATCTCATGAAGCGAAAACTCTATTAGAAATTAAAACATAACGTCGGTGATCACCACTATAGCTCTATTCTGATTCCCGATGGGGAATGATGAGTCTCATACATGCCATCTGAATCCTACTGTCGCCATTTGATCCTTTCTCTGTGTGAGAAAGTCACCTGAATACGTAAATAATATGTTTCAGGCGATGGAAGATCCAAACCTACCGTTCCAGTTCTTTACTCCGGTTATCGCAAGATATTCCCGGATAAACTGGTACATACAAAAATGACCATGTTAAAATTACACCAACTTTCATTTTTTAAACAAAGACTTCGATTCTCCCTGAAAAGCTTAGGGAAGTTGAAAACACCCATTGTGGTTGTGTACACGTTGATCATATGGCAATGCTCCGAAAACCTCCAAGAAAACTGACTAAAAACTGAAGATAAATATATTGTACATGATGGACTCTAGCGTAATACTTTACTCTGGAAGTCTATGAAACAATCGAAATCGAATCAAACGACTGAATGCAGGGGTAGATCCACAGGTGAAAAAATTGCGATATGAACCAAATTTTCAGCTTGAACACTCCATCTTAAAGTCTACCTATCAATCAAGCTGACACCAACAACAGAATGCAGGGGTAGAGCTCCAGGTGGAAAGACTGCAAGTTATTGCAACACAATTTGACATCTAGGAATTTACAATAGTTACTGAATGCATCTGCCAAATCTCAACAAGAAATGAGACCTGGTGGTTGTGCATGACCTGCATTGAACTCTGTAGTAGCCCTGGAAAGGAGGCTTCAAAGCGACTTCTCACAGAAACCTCTGTTAGAAAACATAAACTAAAATCCCAGGAGACCAACGTCTTGCATGGAGCTGACTTTCTTTATAACACCCTTGGTAGACCCTTTAAGGTGCTCTTACGTTCTTTGAATTTGATCCTTACGACAAACTGAGATACATCATGGGCAACGAGCAACTGGAACAGCGATATATTGATTTTTCAATCTGGACTAGTCCACCGGCCTAGATTTTCAGCATGTCACGGTTTTCTAGGATGATTTATTGTTCAAAAGCCTGTATAGTTCAGGTCAGATGGTATAATCTAGACACTCTTGACTCCACCCGCTACTGTAGGAGCAAAGATTGCGATTGTGTGCTTGATCTCAGCGACCATGCGCAATAGCTATATATCCTGTCATGGACAGACTCCAAGGTTGATTGGACACATACTATGATACTATAGACGGCATTCTCTGAGTGAGGGCCATGTCATGATCAAACGGGAAATAACAATCAAGAGCCCTTCTCACTCAAGCTTACCACTATCTCAATTTTTCTTTTCTTCAACATTCTTTTTTCGTGTGATCTGTGGAATCGCTTTAATAAAGTGAAAAAGTTTCTTCATATACTTATGGATCTTCTTGATTCCCCTTCTACATACTAGATATGGGAAGCTTCCAGACCAGGTGACCACAAGTCGACATTCACATAACACACAAACTCTCTCTCTCTCTCTCTCTCTCTCTCTCTCTCATTCATTAAAAAGAAAAGTTCCACTTATGTTCCAGACTACGTAATGCGGTACTGCACAACGACATTCCAGCTAGTGGTCATACTTCAGAGACATTCACTATTTCAAGTTGAAACCGCGAGGTGGTTGTGTAGAGAGATCGTCTGTGTATTTACACCTGAACATATGTGTGACAGACGAGACGAGTGTACCTTCAACTCTCAACTCGATTCTACACTCACAATTCAAAACAGAGAGTATCTGCTTCTGTTGGGGAACTTGGCTCGACGCCATTTGCACGACTATTGTTAAGGAATTATTATACATCTCCCTTTAATTGTTGCAGATAATTTGTTGCAGAAGATGTTGACCAACGATGCCAAAATGTGCCGAAATCAATCATCCACTCCCTGGAAGAAGAAAGCCAAATCTCCACAGAAACTCCATCCAACAGTAACAGACACCTTGTTCCAACAATAACAGACACCTTGTCCCTCCAGCCCCGTTTTCACTCGCGGTCGTACTTCGTGCTCAGGCATTGACACTCACCACATCACGTCTCGTCTCCCGACTGAATCTAGAGACCATGCACTGCCACGCCATTGACATGCACTCCAGCGCAAAGGAAGACGAGGAGCAGCAGTGAGATCGTATCGTGCCCTGGGAACGCAATCCAGGACGAGGTGGAGGCACCTCCTGAAAGGACACGTGTCTCTTTGCTCCTATCCGGGACGAGATCCTGGATGAGGGTAGCGAGTGCCTCAACCTGAAGCTCGTCACGAGGGCGGAGATTGTTGACTGCGCTCACCGTGCTCGAACGAACGATACGGAGAGGAATATCCGACATAGATTCAGGGAGCGTGAAGGGTGGAGCGAGAGATCACTGATGAGATTCTGCTCTCTTCTCTCACGGCGTCGTTGGTCGGTCGCTTTTGTTGTCCGTCTGCGTGAGCAAGATTTGTGTCTGTTGGCCTCACAGTTCCAGTGTCTGCGCACAGCAGCAGTGTCAGGTAGAGACGGAATGGGAGGTTGCACCGGCATTTGCTGCCCTTCAGGGTGTACAGAGTCACTGGAATTTAGGGCGTGAAGTTGTTCGACATGGACATCGGAAGGGTGGTGCAATCGAGTCGAGCGATGACGACTTGGAGGCCTGTATCAGCAATTCCAAAGGTGGACAGGTTCAAATTCGATACATTGTTGGGATCTGATTTTCCCAGAGGCAGTTTTCAAACATGGATGTCGCGGCCTGTTTCAGGTCGAGGAAACTTTTCGATCCGCTTGCAGAGTTTCCAATTGTCACGGAATGCACGTCCGGGTGGCAATCACAAAATGTCGAGACTTTTGATAGCTCCTGTCGTGAATGCCGTTCGACCTGGATCGGAAGAAACTCCTGCCACGGAGTTGAAAAGTCAACTAGAAGCCTTGCAGCTGGAGGCTTCTCAGGTCCGAGATCGATGTAAGTGTCCCCCAGATTTGTGGTTGAGCAGGAGGAGCAAATTCTTGATGTTTACAAAGCTTGTGAGTTTGAGAATTCGGCGCAAGGTAGATCAAGCAATAATTTTCAGTTTAAGCATTGGGCGATGTTTCCAATGGAAGCAACGAGGACAAGTCTCTTCACCTGCTTCCTAATAATTTGCTCATGTTGAAGCTTACGGTGGCAGACAACAGTTCAAGGGCAAGATTCATGCGTCTTGCACAGGTAGCAGAGCACTTGCAGCAGCGTGCGCTTCTCAGCGTGAAACTTGGTAACGAGGGAACTGCTCGGCAGCTTCTTACGGAAAAGAAGAAAGTGATGCGAGCGGCAGAGCTCAGCAAACAACGATCTCAGCTTTACGAAGAGCTCTCCTCTAAGCTCAGTGAGGTAAGAAAATGCAAATGTGTTCAATTGATTCGAAGATTTCTATGGCCACATTTCACTTTTCTTCCTCGATTTTGTGATCGCAGGCCCTATTGAAATGGAAATCTGATTTCAGAGTTTCAAGTCCTATAAAAAGACAACCGAAATCTCACTTTTAACTTCTGTCAACAGTGTGCCCTGTTCCCTGTTCCCGTGCTAGTTAAACTTGAGCTGGACCATGTGCTCGAGATTAAAAACTGCCAATTGCTGTCTAATTTTAAAGGAAAAGTATATTATTGAAAATGCTTCACTGTGCTGTGGCAGGCTATTTCTCGTAAGGAGACGCAGTTGATAGTAGCCTTGTCATCGTCATCACCTGCGGTGGCCGTCGATGAAGAGCCCACAGTAAGAGTGATATTTCCCACCGGAAATGGTTCAGCTCTTGTTGAAGAAGTCTCAAAGGAAGATTCGGAGGAACAATCTTTTGATCCTGACATCAATCAGTCAGCTCCTCATCCTTGCGTTCCGGAGGATGGGGATGAAAATTCAACAACGTTCACTGACTCGCGAAAAGAAACTGATAATGACGGTGATGCAAACAGAGATATCCTACCCTCAACGCATGCAGGTCAGCTTATGTTATTCTTTGTGCGATGCAGATTCTGCTTTTGCTTTGATTGACGAAAGATCTCCTCAGATTCCCTCCGAAGGTACCATTTTGTCAGCAGTAGTGGGACAGGAGCATAAACTGCGCCTCATCTGTAGCACAGACACTGACTACACAAATTCTCGCTCGTTCCAGAAGCAGGATTTGGTCCAGAACCTTCTTCGGATAGTAAATTGGTGAAATCGTCCAAAGATGAACTGGAACTGAAAGAGATCTGCATTCCAACGTCAACCGAGTCAGAAAATATTCGGAGGGAGTCATTAGACGAGAAACCGCGTGTACAGGAGGATCAATATAGTCCATACTTACTGAGGGAACAGATAGAAATAGCTGCCTTTTCTAAAGATTGTGAAGAGAGCCCCTTCAATCTTCACAAGGATGAATCAGAATCATCAAACGATGAAGCTTTTCTACAGGATCAATTTCCAGAGGAGCCATGCTCTACGGATGGAGACGAGAGTGCTCCTGTGGCCATGGATACAAAGGTGGAACTGCTTCATGTTCGCGAGGATGAAGCAGAGGCAAAGAAGGGCATGGACGAGGATCAAGAAGGATGTATAGTCGATAAAGAGGAGCAGGAGCCCGCGAAAGTGGGTGAGCCTTCAGTCTTGAAGGAGTACCTGTTAGATATTAGTTCCCAAGTCGCTCAAGTGGAATCGAAGTTGCAAGGCTTCCTGTTGACTGCAGACATCCTTCTTGGCAGCGAATCTGAAACTAAGGACGAGAGAGTGGTCCTAGTTGAGCAGCTGCTTGAGCAAGTTCAGAGCCTCAGAGCCAGGTACTCTATCCAATATGTGGCAGTTTGGACTTCCAACTGCATTTTTATCTTTCCGTAAAAAAACGCTGAGCATTCCTTTCATACAACCTTGTAACATTCCTTGTTCAGACAGCCATCATTCTGTGCTGTGGTTGTTTACTGTATCTTTGAAAGTGAAATTCGGTGTGCTAATTTGCCAAACCTGTAATGTCGCAGGATCGTCGAAGCCGTGGACACTTCGTCACAAGAACAATTACAATAGCAGTGAAGGTTGGTTACTCAAACCCAACTAAAACTAGGCTCGTGCCGTACCCAACTCCAAGTGCTGTAGTATACATCGGAGAGGTTTTAAGGGTGCTGTTTTTTTAAACATATAGAAATCTGAATTGGAACGAAATAAGCAGCAAGTGTCACTAGTCATTTCTTGAGTGTTAGTAACCAGTCGGAATGAGTGCTATTTTCGATGAGAATCACCATGTGATCCGTCCATTGGCCTGATTCTGCTCGTATACTGGTGGCCCTGTAGATTGGGAAGGTTAGGATGAGATTTGTAGGCTATATGTGTTCGGAGGTTTAGAAATGAGCAGGGTTGTAATGAGTGGTAAATGTGATCGGTCCCAATCGGAACAGAATTGATTAACTTCGAAAAAATCTTCGAAAACGTTTGAAGTCCAAACGAAGACTAGAGCATTCCATCGGACTGGAAGGCTCAGGTAGACAATTTGAAGTCACTGCGGACCTGTCCGTAGAGAACAACAGCAGATGCTCTATCTTTACTCCCTCCCAACACCGTCTCTCATATGTTAAAGATTATTTGAGTTTGAGATTTGTCGGCAGTAGGGTAGATATCTAATCTCCAATCTGTCGTCAATTCGCATATCATGTTTGTCCAGTGTTGTATGTAAATTTTGCTCGTCATTTGCGCCCATATCAATGCGGGGAGCTCTGATGGAAGGCACAGGTGAACGAAAGCAGAGATCTTCAAAACATCGAAAATACAAGCAATTTACCAGGTCAAATTTTCATAATCGAAATGGACACCCAACTCTACAGTTGCAATTCAGATCTTTGAGGATCGGGCCTTCAAATGGACTTCAAAATTTTCCTAGGTAAATTACAAAATTTGGCGGATGTACCCATCCTCGTTCCCATCTTGGCTCTTAGAAACCAAGCTATACTCCTAGAACCCGTAAGTGCGAAGGCCTAGTTCGATATAAAGCCTCAGTTTCACCTTTCGAAGATCGATGGCACATGTCCATTCTCCATGTCGAAAAAGAAGTTCTCACACGCTAGGAAACACAGCATGCAAACGTTCTCAAGGTGGTGGTCTAAACTATAAGCACGCGCGGTTTCATCAATCTGAGAACACCGGATGCATATCCACTACCTCGGCTGGGACATGCCGCAGTTGCGAGCAGCCACTGTCCTCCAGACACGATGGAAGAGTATCTCTTCCATCGTGTGTATGAACAAAATTGGTATTTACAAACGAGGCACGCTCCACAAAGTTTACTCCTTAGTGTCCCCATCCTCTTCTTCGATTTTGGGGGCCAGGTAAAATCTGATATGGCCAGTCTCGGCGATTTTGTACTCCAAGACAACGGGTAATTCTTTAGACATGCTCAGAGTGACCGAGTCCGATAATGTCGTTGCCTTGGTGAAAGAGTTGAGGTATCTCAAGGCAAAGGTCAACGTGACGGGCTCGTTCAGCTCTATGACGACCTCGTCTTCCTTCTTCTCGACGGCGTTGGCTTGGCGACAGACTATGTTGGCGCTCCCGATGTCCCCAGCGGTTGCGAATTTCACTCCCTCCTTGCCGACGGAAATGGTGACGGAGTCTCCGATAGTGCTCAAATCACGGCAAATACGACCGAACTCATTCGAGGGCATCTTGACGATAGCGTCGTAAGATGACTCCGGGATCCCCAAGTGCTCGCTGTCGATGTCCATGAGCTTCATTTCGAAGTCGGATGTCTTGTCTTCCTTGGGGCTCTCGAACACGAAGGTGACGGCGTCACCGCCATCGTCAGCCTTCATGGTGATGATATCATCGTTCGCCGCGCACTTCAACATTTTGGACATGTTGGAAAGGTTCATACCCATGGACATGTTGCGATCGCACCGGTAGTGCTCGAATGTATCGGACCTCAGCAAGAGAGCCACCAATGCAACGTGGCTGGAATCCATCGCTTGCAGCGAGAAACCGGTCTCGGAGCAGTCGAAATTCGCCTCCGTCACCAGATCCTTGATGGCCTCCAGGACCTTCTTCAGCAGACTGCCCTGGACGAGCCGCAACTCCAACATTGTGACGGCTGATCTCAGACGATGTTTGAAAAAATCAGAAGCTCGAGTAACGACGAGAAAAAATCTGGCACAACCAAGACGCCGACCACAACTTCGAGCTTCGAGCTGCAAGACGGGAAGACTACGATAGCCGATGTCGGACTCCAAGCAGAAATCTAATGACGGACGATTTCGGGCGCACTGGTCTCTCGTTCAGCTGAGAAACCAAATCACTCGGACGATGGAGCGGAAGTCGGTAATGTGATCGGCAAATTTGCCACTGACTCGAGACCACCGCAGCCGTAAGGTTGAGGCCGTCGACCCAAACCTGGCTCCAGGCTAACAGGGAAGCGAAGTGCCTTGAGAGCTGAGGACGGATCGAGAGCAGCAGAGAAAGCCCATTCGCTGCCTGGCGCAGGAGAGGTAGATTCCGAAAGCATGCGCAATTGAAAGATAGGCGGCGTGGAGAGGTGGCACTGGCTTCTGTGTCAGATCTCGGCCAGGTCGATCTGATGCCATAACGGCCACGGACCCAGACCGGCAGCCGAAAGGAATTGAAGACGGGCGGATCTCAAGAGTGGGCTCAAGATGAGCAAAGCGCGGGAAAATGTTTTTCCCGCCATCTCGTTCTCCCTCTAACTGGCCACACGAGTTCTGTGCAGGCATGCATTTTAGCGTTGAGAAATCATGCATCATCTCAAGGCATGCATCTCAATTGATTTCTTTCTCCTATAGAGCATTGGGAGGTTGTTGCGGTTTGGTAAAAGTTTCTCAAATATAATACAAAATGCTTCCATAATAATTCTTGTTTCAGTTGTATTTATTTTGATCTTGATTTATCTTAATGGAAGAGTTTGTTTAATTTCTTAAACAATAATAGATACATTAGTATTATTATCATCAAAATTTGCAATATAAATTATGATATTTTTTGAAATTGAAAAAAAAAGTTAACCATGATTATAAAATATATTTAGTATAACATTTTTAATTTAAACTTCATTTCAGATTTCTTTATATTTTATTATACTCAAAAAAGCAATCGATAATTTATATCTTAAGATTAAAATATAAAAAGTTATGATTTATATTAAGTTTAGTATCATATTTTATATATTAGCCTAGAATACATTGAACTTAATTGCACTTGAGTAAACTCGGGTCCTAGTTAAATATAGTTAGAATGCCAATGTAATACATGATAATCATGAATGTCCCACTCAATGAAGCCAAGCCGCCAAGCCACCAACGTATCATCCACATATAACGTGATTCAGCTTCAAGGGCTACGTTCACGAACATCGTGATAGTTATTAAACATTTTGTCTAGTAATACACAAATCCCGGATATATATACCAAACACATGGTATCAACCTAGCTATAAATAACTACAACAAAAGGTTATTCCTTAACCGGAATAAATCTCAACATAGTGCTGGAGTTTAAATACTCTGAATTCTGCACTCAACAATATAACCCTGTTTAATTGATCCGAAGGAAGGCAACACACCATCCTATTGTGGATGTAGCCCCTTGTGAAGTAATGAATCATGCTAATCTTATCTCGTGTGTTTGTTATTTTTTCAATGCGTTTCGTCACTGATGATTCTTGATTTATCCTTCTTAAATTGGTATCAGAGCATGGTTACGTTGGTGATCATATGCTAATAGTGAGCTTATACAATAAAAGTGAGCTTGTGATGGTTTTGATATTTTATCTAGTTTGCTAAGTTAATGACATGTGGCTCGTTTGTTTGGAAGATTGCCTTGGCCACGGTGTGTGGCAGGTTTGACAATGCTTGTTGTGTGGTCTTGAGTCGAGTACAAGTTCAATAATGAAAGAAATTTTAACGGTTTTTTTGACGGTGACAGTTTTTTGATATTAGACATGCAACGGGTGACAAAAATTTCTCATAAGAAAAGATTGGTCGAGCAATTCCGATATAAGGTGACAGTTTCAAAAGAAGCTTTAGAGATGGATTGTATATAGCCAAAGAACACAAAATAGTTCAAGTACGAGGTGAGAGTAAAAGTGCAAGCGCAATTGACGAGTTTAAACATTGACAGTTTATGAAACTAGTTTGAAAGTTGAATTCCTTGATTCAAAGTCAAAATTCAAAGTTTTTTTCGGGATAAGTTCGAAGCGAGACGAGTTCAATAGCAACATAGCAAATCAGGAAATTAGAACGAGAAGTATGACAGTTTGTCGACTGGAAGGTTGTTCATCTTGATAAGAAGCAACCACAAGCCGACGAAGTTTTTACAGACAAGATCGAATGTGTTGTGCAAATATGTATCGTCATACAATCTACATCGTTGACATGCTATTCTTACACACATATAGGGAACAAGAGCGTACACACTCAAAAGTATCACAACTGAAAACTGTCGTGAAAATCCCATTGGTTTAAATAACAAACATCACACAAACTTTGAGCCCAACCCATGAGTGAGTACTCATTGGAGAATGATCCCTAATCCTAGTTAGACACTAAAAATATAAAATATGTATGTACATGACAGTTGTCGTGCAAATATGTATCGTCATACAATCTACATCGCTAACATGCTACTCACACACATACACACACAAACACATATAGAAAACGAGAGCGTACACACTCAAATGTCGTGAGAGTTGATGACCCAAAATGTTATCTTGGCCTTGTACTCCTCGTGAATTGGCAATTAATGATATCATGCCCGAAGATTCAAAGTACTGAAAATCCTTGCATGTCCCACCACATCAAAGATCTCCTCAAGTATAGGCATAGTATATTTATCTAACTTTGTCTGCCAATTAATAGGACGGTAGTTTCCATACATTTGCTTATCAGTGTAGTTGCCATATACATCTTTCTTCACCAACATGACAGTGGCTGAGCATACTCACCATACAACAACTTCACTAACCCAGCATCAAGTAGATCCAAAGTACTACTTCAAATCAAGTCCCTCTCCATATCACTATAAAGATAAGGATGACGAAGGATTGGCGTATCACTAGCCAACTGTATCAGTATGTCTAGTCTAATCAAAACATCCAACTCCTTTATGTCAAAGTCAAAACAATTACTGCACGCACGTAAAAATTGTGTCAACCGTCGTCTCTCTCCTCTTATGATCTAGGGACCAATCAATGGCTCCCAGTACTTTTCTATAGACACACTAGAGAGAAACGATCCTCTCACTAGTTGCTATGCCATCTCATCCAAAGAATCGGTACAGCTTTTTGTAGCCTCCTTTGGATCAACCTCCACGTGAGAAAATCCTCCAACTGTATAGGCAGCAACTCCAGTAAGCCTTCTCGTCACGTCCCAAGAACTCCATGGATGACGAACATCTCGCTTGTCGCCCCTAGCCATTGACTGTACCGTCCCAATATGCAATGAGCTAATTAGTGATGTAGTAATCACCAAATCAGTGCGAGAACGTTGTTGTTCATCTAAACTCAAGCTCACAATCCAAGTTTCACAAATTAGATTCATTGCCGGCCCAAAACCCTTACGACGTGATGCCTCTGAAACTGAAGGAGCCATCGCTGTATCAATAAGAAATTCCATGGCGTGCTTGTGCTCATTTGCGTTGGGTTTCATCAACTACCGCACACGAGTATTCTATACAAGCCCAAGACCGCCATCCCTATAAGCAAGTGATGCGGAAAAACTCACAAACGTAGGTAACGCCATCCGAGGCTATCCCACTTAGTTTATCATTGTCATAGGTGACAGATCAGCAATCCTCACCACCTTTGAACGTCGTCCAACATCTAAAATGCTATTCACCGTAAGAGTATCATCACGGTGCACGGAGTCATATGCATGCCACAAAACCTCCATTGGCAACAAGTTTGTCCACCACAAACATCATCGATATGCTTATGAGCCAATCCTTATTGCATCTAGCAAAACAGCTAGTCCAATTCACGACAGCACCTCATGTACACTCGGCATTAATTGGGTCCAAGTGTCACCTAACAATGGCACGTTCTCTATAATGTATGATGGGGAACGTGCATGATGCACTTGGAGATGACATAACACACGTAACATCTTCCAAAACATACGTGATCTGGGATCTTGCAGCCCTACTTCGCAACCTCCGGGTTGACTCTCACTCAGGTTTAACTCTGATGGTTTTTCAGTAGCTCATCATGGTTCTAGAAGACTAGAATTTCTCCTCATACTCATAGCCCAAACATCCTCTCACACAATCTCTCAAGGTATCACTCCAACTCACACACACATCGACACTTTAAGGTACTAAAAATTTGTCATTCTTTCATATATGAAACAAGTCTCGACATATGAACTCTCCAAACTTGCTTGAGAGGTTATTCCCTACCTTTCTATATATAGTACTTGAAAACTTACCATAGTAACAAAAGATAATTCCTATCTAACTTACTTTTACAAAGATAAATCATAGTTAGGTTGACTAGTTATCAATATGTGGTAACATGCCATTGGCATCCTAAACCTTCTAGATGTTAACTAATCCCTAGATTGAAGTGGCGACATGCTATTTGTGCCTTTCCAACTTCTAGAACTTCCACTTTCCACTAAGTCAACATACGACTTAGTCTAACCAATGGAGTACTCCTTAGTTAGTCAAACCAATCAAAACTAAACATGAAGTCAAAAAGTATTTTCTCTTGGAATCTAGACTTTTGTACAAGATAAAATAGAAGTGCTCACTCAAATCTTCTAGAACTTTTTTAGTTATTTTGCTAAGTATAGACCTTATGGCTAAACTAGCTAGATTTAGTCATAACTATCATAATCATGATTAACTCCTTGGTTAATTCTAGTTTTATTTCACACATGCAATATCCGGTTTTACATTTACCCCCGGACCAGAGACATGAGATTCAAAGTGAGGTGAGATACGAGAAGCCCTCTTCTAAGGCTGAAGCCATTCGAATTGCTATTAGAATGGAGGAGAGCTTAGAAGATAATGATTCTAGCTTGGTGGCTAGAGAAGTAGCTCCACCGGTTGTAGGAAGGTTCATTGTTTCAAACCCTTCTACTTCATCCACGATAGCGAATACTAGTGTGGATTTTCAAAATGAGTTGAAATCTATCACGGAGACTCTAGCACACCTCAAAATCAATGTAGTACAGTTGTGGGAGAAGAGGAATTATAACGTAGGAGGAGGCTCTAGGGGGTGTGGAAATTATCCTCCAAGAGGAAATCCACCTTCAGGAAACTTTGCGGTTTCTTGCTTTTCTTGTAGAGGTACTCATTTTCAGAGGAATTGTCCTAACCCTCGACAACATGATGGAGTTTGGCATAACAACAATGCACCGGCCACGCAACAAGCCAAGGATAAGGGAGCAGCATCCATTGACGTATTTCCTCATCAATGCACTTTTGAGAAAGGGGAGAGCTCGAAATCAAAAGTGGATATCCTTGCTCATGAGAAGAAGCGTGTCTGATTTGCGGACGAGTCAATTTTCATGGAGGACACGCCAAGTCGAAGTACACGATCAAGTGGAGTGAGTCAACCAAGAGTACCAAGGAAGAAGTTGGGCATGGATGACTTTTTCATTTCATCTTCTCAAGCTAAGTATGACGTGGTGGAGGATGTAAGAAATCAGAAAGCCAATATAACAGTTTGTCAGCTGATTGCCTTGAATCTAGCCATTCGGAAGGAGTTAAGAGGA